TTTGCCTAAAGGAGAAAGCACAATGTGAATGAATAGATGTTAAGACTTAAAAATTTCTGTCTCTATTTTGGTTTATGTGATGTAGGAAACGCATTTATTCCTAAAGGAAAAAACATAATGTGAATCAGGATTTGTATTGCACCAGGCTGATAATCCCCTTGATATAGTGATTATTGATATGATCTACTACAGCAGACCCTTGATATTGTAATTACTGATATGATCTAATGCAGTAACCTAGAGAAGCCTTAATCTGCAGGTTAGTGTATACTTCAAATGTTTGTGGAGATCTATGCTTTGATTGTTTGCTAATTGATTTTAAATATGGAACTTTTATCCAGACACTGGGTCATTTTCTGTAGTACAATTAGGCTTCTACGTATCTGCTTGACCGTTGTTGATAAAATAGCTTTAGAACCTAATATTTTAAGATCTAGAGTAAATACTCCTCCGGTCCTTAATATAAGGCATTTTGATTTGTCCTAGGTATAACCTAGTATGCATTTTTAATTGACAAAAAAAATTTAAAAATATATTTTCACATTCGTTGTATTCTCTTGATTGTAATGAAATATTTTTAAGGTTTTTTTTTGTCATTTAAAAATTTGCACTAGGTCATACCTAGAACAAATCAAAATGCCTTATATTAAGGACTGGAGGGAGTATAATGCAGGCAGCAGCTGCATGTATATATGCAAATCTTCTTGTGATACAAAACTTTCCTTTTCCTTCTCCAGCTGAACCAGATTAAGATATAAGTAGCTATGATCTTTTATATTATCCAACTAACAACTCTCATTAACATGCTACAATTTGAAATACAACTCTCGAATAGAACCGACTACCTCATCACTCTCATAGAAGGAAATGAAGCCGAGAACCAGCTAATCAATTAGACAAATATGAACACCAGGTTCTCTCTTCTCTCACTTTTAATAAACATTATCATTCAACAAATGTTATATAAACACACAGCAAAGTAAAACAACTATCTAACCTCTTTTTCCACCTACACAGGAAGGACATCTAGACATTGAAAAGATCAACAACAACCTTGAAGATTCAAACCAAATCTTTCACTTGCAATCAACCACCAGGACTCAACAAGAAACACCACCAAGATACATCGTCACCACATATCTTCTTTCATCTCCATCATCCTCAACAGTAGCATAATTCAGTGACAAAGAAGTTTCTTCAAATTTTCAATAAATTACAACCACAGATGTTAGAATGGTTGAGGAGGAAACCGGCGCATCCAACCAGCTAGAAATGTAAACTCTACCTACAAAAAGAAGTCTTGCACCAGCAGCAAAACCAACGCACAAATTTACAAAACATGCAAAACAAGACTAAAAAGCAATGATATACATATTTCGGTACGTAACAGGAACATAGTTTAACTACTTCTCCTAAAAACTAACAATAGAGCAACACTAAGTCTCTAGTTTTTGGCAAACATAGACTAGCATAGATATGGCAAGGGCCCATGTTTACGTAAATATGTATTTTGTGTAAATAGTTAATGGTGTTCCTGCTATCACTGCTTTTGACAACTCAAGTGGGCTCCTTTTACATATGTATATATATGTTGCTTTGCTTTAAAAAAATTAATTCACAGTTCATATTACCCAACCTATCATTTAAATTTTCCCAACACATTTTCCTGCGTACAACAACATTCAATCTATACTCACTATCAACCGTATATGGTCTTTTTTCCCCAGTTTTCCGAAATTCCCCACCCTACCACCTACAAATTACCAGGCTATCTATACGCACAAAAAAAAAATCACTCTCCAATAAAAAAAAATACATGTACCCCAAGAATACAAAAACTAAATGTAACTAACCTTAATCCACATTATCCATCGATAATCCTCCATGATAAGAACTACTTTCTCCAAAAAGTTGTAATCCACTCGACAATTCTGCACATTCCACTAGCCTTTCTATTCTTCTCAACAGCACCCCACCAGGTAACACCTCCTTTAACACAACATTACATTCAGGTCTTGAACAAAATCGGGCACCTGAATGATATATCTCACGTTCCAGCGATATTTCAACCCATTCTGGGATACGATCGCGCTTAGTTCTCTATTATATTCAACATATCCATTTTCAGACGGTATCTCACCGACTTCCATCGTTATATAAATAAATTTGCTTCTACAACTTCCCTACCCAAATATAAATAATAAAATACCGGCATCCCATTACCAAACTTTATACACAACCCACTTTTTCTCCACATGTATTACTCATGACAACATAACTCCTACTATGCTGACACATTTTTGTCCACCTACACCATTAGGTACCTTAAACTGCCAACTCACTTATCAATGTGTGTCGACACCTTTTCATTTATGTCCACCTGCAACTCTCTCACTTTGCCAACACCATGTAAACCATCTTACTCTTTCAACAACAACATCTTTAAATACCACCAAATACCTCAACTGCAATGCAGCTTCAAACACATAAAATGGCCACCCCTGAAAAATGCACTCATATTCACTGTGGCTAGTGCACATTTTGAAAAAGAAGTCGACGAACTACTAAAAAGGTTCCTCTGCCATCCTGTACGAAAATACGCCCTCAAAACTGCACTCAATATAGAGTGGAGCCTTTCAGCTGCTAAAACGAAGGACAATCTTTGAATTAAACATTTCCGCACATCCTAGTAATTCTATAAAAAAAAAATTCTCTTCTCTTTTCTTACAAAGTTTCTATAAAGCATTATAATATAAGTTTTTCCACTTTTTGTAATATAGTTTCTATGCAAAACACTGTTACGTGTCATCATGTAATATAATTTCTATATAAACACTGTAATACAACCTTATTTAATTTTAGCCAACTAACAACTAAATATAATACACACCGAAACAAAAACAAAATCCACCATACACTGGCTCCGCTACCAAAACCACCACAACCGCACGATGTGCGGCTACCCTCCGCTAATATTACCATTATTTGTAATTTGATATAACCACATGATTTTTGTCAAAAATTAATTTGCTATAGTTATTTTTCAGTTCAGAAAATTATTGTGCTCGCGGTTAGATATCGGCGGGCCACTGCGTGTTGACGTGGTGTAATAAACTCGGACTTGAGATTTGATCGCTCATTATTACATCAACAAGAATGTTTAATTAGTGACGTCGTGATTACCTATGTGGCAAGTTTCCTTCTTTTGCAAAAACACCCCTACTAAACCGTTGTCGTTTGGCTAAGGTTTCCTTTATTTTAGGTTTAATATCAAAAACACCCCCGAAGTTCGATCGATTATCTAAAACACCTTTATTGTTTGAGGAAATATCAAAGGCATCCTTTGACCGGCATGTCAACTATCAAATATACCCTCAAGTGCCAGAAAGATAATGTATAACAATGACAGGGGCCCAAAAAAAGACTGTTCGGACATTTATACCCAAAAATTTAGTGGAAAAATGACCTTCTCATCTCCTTCCAAAAGGTAGCCAGAAACCGAATGATCTTCAAACCAATTTATAAAAATCATTCAAAATTCAAGGATCATATTTTCACAGTTGAACTAAAAGAAACTGAGCAATTGAGTATTAAGACATACAATTTCCAATAAACCCAACAAGATAAATCAACAAAATTTAAACTTCTAAAAAATTAGAAAGAAATTGACTTAGAATTGCAAGTGGGATGGGAGAAGGATGGTCGAGCTCCCAGATTTGTTGATTTGTTGTTATATGAAATGAGAGTTATTTCCTACGAATAAATCTAACGCCATCAAAATTAGTTATGAAGACTCCATCTCCAGTCTCCTTCAAAGAAAATTCTCAATAAAAACAGTCACCTCCATTTGTTAGCAATGAAATTCCAAATACCCAACAATTGCCACCATCAAAATCGTTTTCCCCATAAAAGAGAAACCCAGTGCCAAACTCTAAATCTTTTTCCCCACTAACACTAAACCCATTAAAAGGAAAAAAAAAAAACTTTCTGCTGTTGCTTCTATGTGTCTCCATCATTTCCATCTACTACTGCATATCAGATTTGGAGGACAAAGAAGTTTGTGGGTGTGAGCAGGGTAGAGGTGGGATTCAAGTTACCATCCTGAGGGAGGGTGAATTTGTTGGAATTATATTACAAAAGAATAAACAACAATGGCTGCACTAACACACAAAATACTAGAAGAAAAACAACACTTGCTAAATGAAAAGATTTATCTCCAAGTCACAAGAAAAATCTTGTTTTCCTTTAGGCTAAATTCGCCCACTATATTGTGCAATTGTTTAGGCGAATTCCCTACAAGATAAAATAGAGATCAAACCAAAATACTATGCACGTAGTGTTTGGTTACCAAAGCAAGGATAAGAATGGTCATTAGAACTATTCTAAGTATTTGGAAAATTTTCTCTGCAGCAAGAATCTCTCAAATGATCCATATTTATAGAGTTCTAGTGACTCTTAAGATTAAACACAACTCTTTGTTGATGTCTCTCCAGTTTTTGGAATGATTAGACACCACTTCTAATTTGTGTCTTTTCATTGGAATCTTTAAACACAACCTTTGAACATTTGGCATGTGTCTCTTTATTTCTATCATGAAACTTTATAATTTTTTATAATATATTGAAAATAATATTTTAATATATTGAAAATATTCCAACAGAATTTAAGGCGTTGGAAATGGAAGGAGGGGGTGGCGGTGGGGAATTGGGGATAGAAAATTCCCTTAGCTTTTTATATTTTCATCAAAAAACGAGAGAGAGAGAAAAGCAAAAGATGACCAAAATTCAAGTAATGCTTTAAAGTTTTTAAGGGTTTTGTTGTCATTTTACGCGTTTTACCAGTTGACCGGGAGGTCTCGTCGGTCAAAGGAGGTTTCTGATATTTTTCCCAAAAGGTGAGGGTTTTTTAGATAATCGATCGAACCTCGGGGGTGTTTTTGATATTAACCCTTTATTTTATTTTGTTTTTTTGGTAAACAGGTTTCTTTAACACTAACACCCCAAAGAGCAAAATCATCATCCATTTTGCATGACCTTTTTAGATCTCCGCCGCTCCCGTTTCTTCTTCTCTTCTTCTGTGCCGCTCTTCCCCATCGCCGTCCAAACCCTTAAGAGTTTAGTCGATAGGAAATAATAATAATAATAATAATGGTGATATAAATTATTAATACAAGACTACAAACCTTTATCTTCAAACTCCACCCCGTCCGTTCAAACCCCGCCTCCTGGTTCCTCCACCAACGGCATCACAGCTCCCCCGCCACTCGCCAAAGTCTCCCAATCTGCTTCCCACCTCTGCTGCCGGACTTGAAGCCTCGCGACAACTTCCAGGTAATTTCCTTTCCCCCCACCAAAAAAAAAAAAAAACCACACAAAACGAAAGTGCAAATTTTGTTAAAAGACGGAATCTTGTTTACCGCAAAGATGATTGCTTGCATGAGTTGAATGATTTGGTGTAAAAAATGCCCTAGTTTTGTTTTCTTAGCATCCTCTTTCTTTTCGGGCATTGCTTTTCTTATATTTCTGGTTATGTCTGTTTCTGTTTTTTCTAATTTGTGGAGTCAATTGCGCGAATTTACCCCAGCAAGTTGGGTTATCTGGGGAGTATTGTCTTTTCTTTTTCCCTAAGGAGGTTCTATATTGGTTTGCGTCTTGATTCCATGCTTCTGTTTCCAATGATTTGTTAGTTCTGTGCGTGCTTAAATTTTCGCTAAATGTATGTTTTAAGTAGAAGCATTTTCAGAAGTTTTCTCCTTGGGCTTTCCATATATATTTTTGGCCACTTGCCAATCAGTAGTTTTATCTTTCTCAGTAGTGTTTGCTAAAATTGGTACCTTGACATGAATTGTTCTCCGATTTTCACTTGTCTCCCACCCGCCCGCCCACATGTATGGATCTGTTATGGGTTTGTTTGTCAAAATGATTTCTGTAAATAGGTTTCTTTGGACTTCGTAATTGGAAAGTCTTGCTAATTTGGGTTTGGGAGGCAAAATATATTTCCTCACTGTAATGGTTCTTTATTTCTTTCTATGAGTGTGGCCTATCCAAATACTACTTGCATCTAGGTTCTCGAAAAATATATGGTATTATTTTGACTTTTGACACTACAAAATGTCAGCTGCTGATTTTTTCTTTTTTTTTCCTTCCATGAAAGTCTGATGCTTCTAGGTACATATGCATTTCTTTCCTTTAAATTGCAATTTGGATGGTTTGAGAGTTGTGTTGTTTTCTTGCAGGTTCTGGTCAGCAAATGATTTCAATTCCTGGTCTGTTACTCTTTTTTGAAAGTTTAGCACAACATTTTTAGGAGCTACAGTATGAGTACTACACCAAATAGAAGGTCACATGAGGAGGGTGGAAATGGAAGTGCTGGTGGCAGCGGGAGTCATATTCATTCGTCTTCAACCAAGTTCCAACATGAAGAATCAGGCTCATACCCTAGTATGATACCTAAGCCAACTTCTTCGACCTCTGTAGATTACCATCATCCTAATGACATGGGATCGGATTCTAGAATGCCCAAACTTCCTAGAATTGAATCACGTGATGCCGATAGGCGGTCACCTTTGCTTCCAATGTTTCGAGTTTCGTCATCTTCAAATGAAGCACATTCTGATCGTGTTACCAGTTTTGAAAGCAGATCGGAGTTTCGAGATACTAAAGATGGTAATAAGGAACCCAAGGTGGAGAGCCGAGACACGAAGGTTGAACCAAGGGATATGTACCAAGGCAGCCGACTGGATAAGGATGTGAAGTTTGAGAGTAGAGGTGATGACAACAAAGAAATCAAACATGAAAGGGAAAGTCATCAAGAGCATAGAGCTGATGTTAGGATGGAAAAGGAGGGCTTCAGTGGGGCAGGAAGTCATGGAAATTGGAAAAGTCCAATGGAGCAGCACAGGGGGAAGAGGTATCCTGATACCTCAGCTGGGACTGTTGACCCTTGGAATGCGTCTAGATCCAGTTCACGTACTACTGCTGAAGGTATAAATGAAGCACCGAATCTTGAGGAAAGGGATTATGTTGAAGCTCATGAAGCTGTTGGGGAAAACAAGGTTGATTTTAAATGGGATGATAAGTTGAAAGAAAAAGAAAGGAAAAGGAAAGAGGGGAAGCACAGGGACTGGGGAGAACGGGAGAAAGATAAAAATGAACGCCGAAGTACAATGCAGGTGTGCACTAATAGCAGTAATGATACTAAAGAGCTGATGAGGGAAGAACGAGAATCTGAGAGATCAGAGAAAGAGAGGAAAGATTTTGCACGAGAGAAGGAAAATGTAAAAGATAAGGACAAGGAATATAGCAAGAAAGAGTCAGGAAGTGGTGCCAAAGAAGTTCCTGACAATGATAAGGAGGTGTTAGATGTTCCTAGCAGAGTTACAGACCCTGAAAATCCTTCTCTGGACATTAAGAAACCAAAAGATGTTGATAGCTGGAAAAGTGCTGATAGGGATCCTAGAGACAGGAAAAGGGAAAGAGATGCAGATGACGAAGGAGAAAGGGCTGACAAACGCAACAAGAATCATGACAAGGATTCAGATGATGGATGTGTTGAAGCTGATGGAGCTGACGAAAAGGAGAGAGAAGCTTTTAATTATGGAGTGCAGCAGCGTAAAAGGATGCTTCGACCAAGGGGTAGTCCTCAACGAACAAATCGTGATCCTCGTTTTAGATCTCGTAATCAAGATAATGAAGGGTATGGGTTTCAAAGTTTGATTAAATTTCTGTTTCTTTGTTTGAGTTAATATCAGCTTTTGATTTCTGCATATATATGTTCCCCATTTTCCCCTCTCCAATTGCAGTGGAAGTAAGTGGTTATGGTAACATTTCTAACTCACAATCTTAGTGGATTTGCTTTGATGGGATGCTCTTGGTCTGGCTAGATGCTAAGGTGCTGATGACTCTGGCTTTTGACTAACCCTTTCTGCTTTTAAAAAAAATTGAAAACATGCAATATTACGCACTCAATCTGCTGCTGTTACTTATTTCAAATGGAAACTGTATTTCTAAAATATTATTAACTTTTCTCCTTGCACACTGACTATATATCTTTTCTCTAACTATCTGCTTAGGTATGAATTGTCGCGTTGCAATATATGCTTTTCCTGAGGAAAAGGGATAGTTGGGGTTGAAAATTTAAGATAATTGTTGGTCTCGCTTCTCCAATGGAAGTATGATAGTAGAGAATGTTCAGGATTTCCTGTGAGATATAGAAAACTTACCTTTCTTGGATTTCCTGTAAATTCTTTTGTTATCGATAGGACCAAAATATTTTTTCAAGTCATCCTATTGAACTGATAAATTTGATTCTGGTTTGTAATAGAAGTGTACCCATATAGATGCACAGCTCAGTTTATGACGCAGGACTAGGACCTTAGGTAGATTGATAAGTAGAGCGCAGTGGAAAATCAAGAGGTATTATAGGGAAGCGATAGATAAAACACAGGAAGACCTGAACAAATTCTTAGAATCACTCCTGGAGACCCTTCGGCATCACTCCTTAGGGACCTTTAGGCACAGCACTGAAGGATTAAAGTTGCATCACACATCCAAAGGAAGGCACAGTGTATAGCAAGATTTTTTTATTTGACTGAAAGCTGAAAATTTTCCTGGTATGAGATACATTATTTTTTGGAAAACAAAAACCTAAACTATTAGGAAATATCCTTTAGTTTCATAAAGAAGTTGTTCTCGAATCTGTGAACCTAAATTAAAGGTGAATTACCTAAAAGATAGACTAGAAAACAGAAAACTTAAAAGATTTCAGAAAATCAGCAAAATAACTGGACTACCCTTTCTAAAGCAAATGAAAATTGATAAACTACAATCCTACATTTAAGCATAAAGAACTTGAATAATCTGGTGATCCTGTTTTTCCTTGGGTGCGTACTTAAACTAGGCACTTTTGAAGAACTTGTCAGTGAATTGCTTGTGTTGTGCCCTTTCTTATCCGCATCAGGTTATCTTTATGAAATTTGTACTTTATTTTCTGAAACTCTTACATTAGCGGGTCACTTTATTATTATTTCTGAAGGCTCAAATATGTCAAGAAGTAATTTAATTCTGAATGAAGTATTGACCCATTTACTATCCTTCTGTCACAAGGATACCAATAAAAATGATGAAATCTTCAGTTTTTTTCGCACTTGATAATCATCAGCTGATCCTGTTTTTTCTTCCTCATTTATTTTGCAGGTTTCAAGGTAAGCTGTAAAATAAGATTGTTGCAAAGAGAATGTGAATACTGATGGAAAAGGGAGTAGTACTTGGTCAATAGTTCTGATATGGCTATTTGGTCTTTCGTTAGCTTCTCTTTTTTTAAACATTTCATTTTTTTACTGCTAATGTTTGCATATGTTAAAACTTTCTACAATTTATGATGACAAGTAAAATGGAAGCTTTTAAGCTTTGTCGAGAAACAGATTGAGATCACGTCGAAGACTCATTTTGCATCTCTTCATTAATCATGAGCTATTTTGGGGATTTCCTTTGATTTGTGGGTCTCAGACTCAGGAGCGCTAGAATGGTTGAAAAGAAAAATATTACGTGCAGGTTTCAGAATGTGAAATTTATTTCTCAAAATATTAATTCATTTTTGCACAAAGTTTTGTCTAGAATGTCTTCTTGAAGCAGTATTTTAGTTAGGTCTACTAGTGCCAAATATGATACTTTGATTGTTCATCCTTGGTAACATCACTGTGTTTTAAGGAACAAAAAGTTAATTAGCAAAGAAATCATATATATATATATATATATATATATATATATATATATGCACGCGCGCACACACACACACATACACACACAAACACGTGTAAACTGAATGAGTAGGTCTTTGCTGCATTCAATTTGTCATCAGTTCTTAGGATACCATGTCAGGATCAAATGATTTAAAAAGTACAATATACAAGCATGTTTTTCAAGTGGATGGTTCTACAATGTTTACTAATCAACAAAATGTCGTGAATTATATTTGTTTTCAAGATGAGCTGTTATATATATAAGATGTAAGATTTGTTTGAGTATCAGCCTAGAAGCTTGTTTTTAAGCATAATGGAGGATCTCACTAAATTATTTCCTTTCTTACTTTTGTAAAGTATGTTTGTAGAGTTTGATGATGCTTTTTAATTTCTTATATATATGTGAACTTCTTTTCTTGTAGGACTTATGAGAATGAATAGAGATGATTCATTTTTTGTTATTATGATAGTCTTGTAGAAGCTGCATTTCGTGGTTGCTTTTCATTTATTTGTTATAATCATTCTCCTCCAAGTATTTTTTCACGAGCCTTGTTTCATGATTAGGTAAACCTGATACGTCCAGCATTCTGTATAGAGTTGCTGAATGCCTGCAAGAGCTGACTAAAGTATGGAAAGAATTTCAATTGACTCAAACTGATAAGAAATCTGAAAGCTCTTCAAGTGGCCCTACTCTAGATATCCGCATACCTGCTGAGCATGTGTCAACTGCAAACCGCCAGGTTATCCTTCTTTCCCTATTATTCTACTTTCTATGTTATTGTTGTAGCTCAGTGAGACTTCAATTTTCTAAGGTTCTCACATCTGTAAAATTTGTTGTTTCTGTTGAAGTTTGAAAGATTGGGTTTGAAAGGAGATGAAATAAGTGTGTCTTCTTCTAATTGTCCAAGCCTAAAATAGCGTTCCGATGAACTGTTGTTTTATCCTTTTCCTTGCAAGTGAAAGCATGGTCCAAGCCTCCATGGTCCACTTGAACTGTTGTTCACTTGTATGATGAACTGTGTTGTCTGCTTAATGATCCCTTTGACGTCGTTGGAGTGTTGACAAGGATCAACAATACTACATTACTGTGGTTTGCTTCCTGCTCTGGTCGTTGACATTATCTGGTGGAGTTTGTTATTTATGCTTTGTTGACATGACAGCCATTAAAGTCCCTCCCTCTCTCTGTCTCTCTCCCCCCTTCAGTTCAAGATAGTTTGCAGTGCTAATTCTGTAAGTGAGCATGGATTTTACAATCAAGTATGGTGGTTATTTCTGTCCCCTGCTCAGTATGTGATGTAATAAACTTTAAAAAAGGTTTAAGACTATGAACTGTGTGAGCATTTTCCACTTTGTCTGATTCTCTTAGTTGAATTCTATGTTTCATGGACCCATGTTCCGGTGTCAGGTATAGACACAGGTACGGGTGTCGGAATCGTCAATTTTGATAAATCAGGATACGTATTATATTTACGTTATGCAATTAGTCAAATTATAAATACAAGGATACCATATCTATATTTATCCAAGAATTGACTGAGGAATTAGTAAGATATTGGTTATGTTTCATCAAGATATATTATATTTATGATGAATATATGAAAATATCTAAGCATCTATTTTTTTCGAAACTAAGTGTTGGGGGTGTAAACAGATGAGAAAGGAAGTTTAGGGAATAGTTTGTGAAATATTGTACATTATTATTGGATTATATTATATTATTTTAATGAAAAACAAAACCCTACTACTCCATTGTTTTGTTTCAGGCTTTCAGCCACTGCAAATGCACTGCTTATTGCCGCTTCTGTTTCTCTTTCCAGCCATCAGAGTCCCATCTTTGATCTTTCTTCTCTTTTTTCTACTCCAACCCTCCTGTTCTCTTCTCTTTTCGTTTTCTTCCTCTCTTCTAATTTTTCTGTTTATTTTTTCTTACCTAGTGGTTTGCCTTTGACCGTACACAAAATTGTTTGACCGTACTGGAGACAGATCCCATACCGGTGTCTGTGTTGTGTGCGTGTCGACACCTGTATAAGCCAAAATCCGGCAAGTCTATGAAAAATAGGTTGAATTGAAATTTGCTCATGCAATTCTGAGAAATCCATAGAAGTGAAATGATATTGTATTGTTCTTAGGCTGCGCTGTTGCAGTGAACGGGGATTGACTAGTTTTATTAAATGAAGATACGTTGAACCATAGTATTGCAACTTCAATGTTGATTTTCTGTTTTCTGACAATTTTTAACATAGAACGACTCTTCAGAAAGGTAAGGATTTGTATACTTCTTTGTATAAGATGGAGAAAATGAGGTTATTACGTCATCTTTGTAAATGACTTTTTTAAATTATTACAATTTAATTGTGAAAGACCAAAATCGTTCTTAATATCCACGAAACAGGTGATGCTTTGAGGATCTAAGTATTGGACAACTAAGTGGAAAAAAACTTGGGGGGTAGAAGAAATGAGAATTTGTGCTATGGATGTGTTTCTGTCAATTAGATAGAGTCAGTGATGAAAATGGTAGTAAAAAACTGGATGTGCACGAGAGAAACATGCTTAAAGGTTGTGTGGGAATGTTTACAAAACCTTTGATGGCCCAGTACGGTATATGTAAAATTAGAATCAGTAACCGAAAAATTGAAGGGGGCAACGGGATCACTGAATAAAGAATCAAAAGAAGTTGTTCATACTCAAATAATTAATTAAACCTAAATAATAATGCGGCAGGATGTGATGATAAAATGTAGTTCATACAACTAGCCTTACCGTGGGAGAAAGGGTTAATTGTTTGAATCTTCCGAGTCAGATTCTGTTGTTTTTGTGGAGTCTCCATCTCTATATTTCTGTTCCTTTTTCACTTGTTTACCTAGCAATTATCTTTTTGGTTTACTGAGGGCCACTCGTGCAGGTAAGAGGTGGCCAGCTATGGGGTACTGATATATATACCGATGACTCAGATCTTGTCGCCGGTACTTGGATTTTTATGTATTTTATGTATTTTATTATTTAGTGGAAGTTGCTGTATGCATCAATGACATGCTTTTTTTTTTTTTTGGGTGTCCTAGTTCTTATGCACACAGGCTTCTGTCGTCCAACTGCTTCTCCTCCTGACTCTACTATTCAGGAGTTACGTGTGACCATCAGAGTCTTACCCCCGCAAGAATGTGAGTCAATCTAAAATGCTGTTTGTATGTTTTGATTGTAAAAACTTGCATATTTGGGTTTGTTTTCTATTTTATTATTTTCTTATTATTTTTACTGCCGGATTTTGATTATGAAGGTTTTCTCGAAGGTGCTTATTTGTGTATGCACTGGTAGTTACTTTAGACCTGTACAGCTCCTCGAAAACTATTATATTTTGTATGAGAGGACCCATATTGCAATCTGTATGAGCTTTAGTTGACCTCTTATTTGATTCTTAGCATTGCAATCCTGATAGTTGATGTTTCTATCTTTGGCAAATCCTGACTCAGTTCCATGACAAATTGTCTTGTTCATCTTTTGTTAAGTTGATGAGTTTACTTGTGCAACTTGAATTGATTTTTAACTTTCCTACTGTTTGTTGGGTTCATCAGTTCAAGAACTTGTCTAGTTTACCTGATATTATCATACGTTTAATTAACCAGGAGGTTTTCTGTTGTGGAACTCTTTTTTCTTTGTACTCATTGATTGTGACTTTGCAGTAGCAATTAACTGGGATAATTCGCACTGATGCTTCCCATGGTTCTCATTCTTTGTAACTGTGAGTGTGAGTTTGCTACAAGGAGTTCACGGAATATTCCGCTGAATGCTCACTGCTGTTAATGGATACAATCAGCTTTTCTGAATTGCTTATTGCGCTTATCAAATAAAGAAAAAGACTTGGAAGAATAGTGTTAGCTATGATTGTGATCTTTTTAATTTCTGAAATGTGGATTTACGCCTTGTCCCTGATACTGCTGTAATCGTGTGCACATGACTTTTGAGTTGCTGACCTGATGATACCTTAGTTTCTATTTCTGTTGGTGATTCTTTTGCTTAGGGATTCAGGATCTGATTTTAATACCTTGATCAGGCTATTCTTAAAAGCATCATGCTGTGCTCTTCCTTTATGAAGGGCATATCTTAGTGTATTGTGGGATTGCTTCCTCAGTAGGACTAGAGATTTTGCATAGTATCTTTGAAGGATGAAACTTTAGTAGATAGATTCTTGACTCCTGTGTATAATTATGCTTTCATGTGATTGGTAGATGTTGCTTATCTTTTTAAATTTCTCCTTTTAAAACGTTTTAAATTTCTCATTTTAAAACGAAAGGTTATCGTATTTATGTGTATGTATGTGGGTACTATCTCAGGCTACATTTCGACATTGAGAAACAATGTACGATCAAGGTCATGGGGAGCTGCCATTGGCTGCAGTTATCGTGTTGAGCGGTGCTGTGTTGTGAAGGTAAAGGGTTCTTTGTGTTGCGTATTTTACTTTCTGATTTTTCGTTCTTTTGGGAAAATGCAAATGCATGGATGCATTTCTTATAGTCTCACTGCATAAATTACTTGTTGCTTTTCTTTTATTTTCTTTCAAAATAATTGTAAATTTGTATATTCCTTTTAGCGGACCACTCCGTTTCCAAAATGAATTCCTTTGCCACATGAAATGTTTTTCGGGTATTATGTTGGGGCCTAAAAGAGCATGCTCCTTGCACATAAAATGGATGTCTGCATTAGTTTCTATGTATGTCCTGACCTGAACATATCCTTTGCATGATGCAGAAAGGAGGTGCAATGTTTGATCTGCAACCGTGTCTTACACATTCATCATCTTTGGAGCCTACCCTTGCTCCAGTGGCTGTTGAACGAACAATGACAACTAGGGCTGCAGCTTCGGTATAATTTTACAATCAGATTTGGCTCTCATGAGTATTCCAATTGTCTTTGTTACTTTTCTAAAAACTGTAGAGTACAATTTGAAATTCCATTTAAAATGTTTAATTTTTTCTTTAGCTCTTTCTGCTGCCACCTAGGGTTATAATCTTAACAGTTGATAATCGAAATCACTGAATGTTCCTTGTATGGTCCTATATAAAAGGGGTTTTTGTGATATAAATTTTACTTGTAATCTTTGTGTTGTGAGGTGGACATGTTGCTGCTACTTATTGTTTATATAAACAACATTTTTACGATTCTAAGCTTTAAAAGTTTTTGGTTCATTATTTTCTTTCTTCTATATTTGAGAGTGAGATTCTAGTTTACTGGTTCCATATTCTTTTATGGTCTGTGTGTATACTTCATTGACTGCATTTGATTTCATTATACTTGAAGATTTTCTTCAAGAAGTTTGAAGATAGGTTCATCTGTAAGTTGATGCTGAAACTCGACTGTAAAGATCCAAATTTTTTAGATTTACATTCTTTAAATGTTGGCGACTAATGCGCATACACAATGTATTTCCTAACCTTTCTGTTGCTTTGGGATTCTAAAGATTAAAACTGCCGAAAGTGTTAAAATACGATGAGGGAAGCAGGGAGGAAATTGCAGGATGCATCTTTATTTTTCTTTTTTCCAGATGTGAGCACATAGGAAGATGTTATCTTTGTTTACGGTATAATGTCTTACGTAGGTTGCTGCTTTTTATGATAAATGCTGTTAGAACACAAGATATTGTTGCTGCTGCATCCATGGGCATTGCGTAGTTACCATCTCGTGATTAAATTTGTTTTAGGTGTTATGCTTTTTATCTCTTGGTGTCATCTCGTCTTTCTTATTGTTTTCTTTTAGTATTTCTCGTTGTCAGCTTGTCTAGAGTGGAGGAAGATACTATGCTCAATGTTTCTTAGATGTTAGAATATATCGATACTCGTGATATGCTACGAAATGAGAGTGTTTGAGGATTCCTTCTTGTTGTGAACTTTTTTTTATTATACAGGCTATGGTTTAGCCTTTAGGCTCTTCGTGCATTTGGTTTTCATGTATGTGCATCCTTTAATTATTTTTTATTAACATCTCTAATCTTCTCTTTCTATTTCTTTCTCCCGCTTTAGAATGCATTACGACAACAAAGGTTTGTACGGGAAGTTACAGTACAATTCAACCTGTGCGGTGAGCCTTGGTAAGTATTAAGATTGGTTTATTTTGTTGTTTTATGGCTCCTATGCTTGTGAGGACCTTTTACTGCTGTCATGGAATTTCTGTGATGATGAATTTCTTTGGTAAATACTGCATATCGTTGTTAGATAATTCTTTCTGTAGATTGTGGTTAAGTTACATTGTGAGCAAATTATAGTAGTTTTACATGAGGCTGATTTGGAATGAAAGTGATGAAGGTTAGTTGTCTATTTGATTGGCAATAATCAGTGTGTGTTTGAGCTCTGGTGGTGGTTTTGGTGCAAATTTGAAACATGGAGTAATCAGTGTGTCATTATATGCAATCACACTGGCAATCAGTTTGATTTGATTCTTGTAGTTTGGTGGATAACTATTTAAAAACTGTGTTTATGATGATTTTGATATTTCATGGTTGCTTGACTCAATAATCTATTTGTAGTGACGGTCCCAATGGGCTTGTAGGTGCATTTAGCTTTGTCATACACTAGCCGTTGATATCTAGAAAAGTAAATGTCAGGGGGAACTTCAGGCTATGCATTCTTGTTTGACGATGTAATTTCACGTCTTATGCAAGTAAGTTCTTATTTGCTAATCTCTTTATGTTTTATTTTTTAGGCTTAAATACAGTGTAAGTGTGGTTGCTGACAAGGGGCTTAAGAGACCCTTGTATACATCATCCCGCTTGAAAAAGGGAGAAGTTCTCTTTTTAGAAACCCATTCCTGCAGGTAATCATTGTTTGATATTTTGGTCATATTTTTCCTGAATATCCTGCGTAGTCAAATTACATCTTGTAGTGCCTGATTGGTTTTCAAGGACCACAATTTGGTGCGTTGTAATATCATCTTTCGTCATCAGAATTTTGAGCATATAATTATTGCCTATTCTAGTCTCTTTTTTTTTTAATTAGCTTGCCTTCGTTGGGACATTTTGGTATCTCTCTTTATGTTTGATTGTGTGAGATTATTTTGAAAGAAATAAAATTTGGAGTCTATGTGGTCTTTGTGAGGTTTTGTTTGGAGTAGTATTTTGTTGGTCTTGGATATTGTGATCATTCAGTTTGATCTTATAAATTGAGATGCATAAAACTCTAACCAGATTTTTGTCGTAGCTTGTCATAGATTACTCATAATTAATCCTCATTCAGGTATGAGCTTTGCTTCGCTGGGGAGAAAATGGTCAAGGCAACGCCTGCATCTCTGGCTAATGAAGCAGAAAGTGATAGATCTCAACATCACAACTCACATTCTACAAATGGTGAGAGAGGTTGTTCGGTTGACACTGAGAATGTTGTAGATGCCTTCAGATGGTCTCGCTGTAAGAAAATCCTGCCTCAGTCTAAGATGATATCAGTTGGGATTCCCCTGCCTCCAGAACATGTAGAGGTAATCTCTCCCTATAATATACAAGTCGTCTTCTTGAAATAGATAGAGTAAAATGTGTGCTTCTGCATCTTATTTGGGATTAATGTCTGAAGGGCATTGGCTGCTATAGTTTTTGACCATCTTTATTTTTTTATTTATTATGATGTGGACATCAATAAGGAAGAGGAAGAATCCACTTCCAGAATTTCGCTGTATATGTTAAAAGAAATGATAATAATAAATGAAGGTTAATATAATAAGTTTGTAGTGGGCTTTTATCTGGAACAGACCTTGGACTGAGATGTTTGTTACATTGATTAAAACCATTTGCAGGTTTTGGCTGACAATCTTGATTGGGAGGACATCAACTGGACACCTGTTGGTGTTCATATCACCGGAAAAGAGTACTCTCTTGCTCGGGCACATTTTATGTCTCCTAATTAGCTGGGGGGTGTGTTTAATTTTATGAACTTTTTTCAGTGGCCTATAGGTGCTGGAATAGATCTCTGAATTTCGCTCGAACTGGTATAGATGTCGACGTTAAGCGAATGTTGCATAGTAAAGCGAATGTTGCATAGTAACTCTTACATTTAAATAGTAGACTGCGGAATTGTACTTCGTTTGGCCATTTATTTATGCTTCCCAAGCCCTTGTAATTGTGCTCTTTGGGCGAGATATCTTAACAATCCTACCAAACGCATCACCGTACAAGTGAAGAATACATTGTTTTACTAGAAGAAACTAAATCATGTGAGTTTAAAATAAAACACTTTGTTTCTAATTTTATAAACAGATTTTTACGGGATGAGAATTGTGCAAAATTTGATTCTGAAGGGAGATCATCAGTCGTTAAATAACGTTCTTTGTGGTATCTGAATTTTGAATCCTCTTTCGTTACAGCTGATAAAACGCTCCCATCAAATATGTATACAGTTTCGTGCATAATGTTTAAGCTTTACATAGAAGCAAAACCAGAAACTGCAAATCAGCAATAATCTCAGCAACCCAAGAAACACTTTTAACTGAGATAAGCTTCACATGAGTTGAAATTCAGACCCGAGATGGAGAGCTCCAAAATCTATTTTTACCGCCCATGTTGACCCTATGTTAGCCCCTGTACATTCCTGGTTGTCTACGTTGGCCATTACTTTTTTTTTTTTTTCTATTGACTGCCTTCTAACAAAGACCTGAATCCAAGTCTGGCGTCAACTGCATCACCAATGTTAGCCCCTGTAAATTCCTGGTTGTCTATGTTTGCCATTCCTTGTTTTTTTAATGACTGCATTCTAACAAAGACCTGAATTCCAAGTCTGGCCAACTGCATCTCCGTTTCCCTAGCTAGCCCTAAGAGAGTCAAAAACTACTGAAAAAAGATGATTACCATTCATACCAATCATTGATAAAATCATTCCACATTGCTTCTGTAATTGAGTCTCTCAGAGAGGCTGCCATTTCATCCTGCAATTCGTAAGCAATCTGAGAATCAGGTTGATTGTCGTCAGGCAGCTCCATGCAGCTGCTACTACTAACAGTCTCAAAGAGCCAGTCATTCCTTTCCTCATGTCGGATGAAATTGTGCAAAACACAGGCCGCAATAACAATATCCCTTTGCGTTTGGAAAGCATACTGGGAAGCAAGTTTTAGGATGGGAAACCTCTCCTTTAGCACATTAAACGTCTTCTGGATGATTATCCTAAGTGATGCATGGCGATGATTAAACAATTCTTTTGCATTTCTAGGGAATTGATTAGCACCTTTATATTCCTGAATATGATAACGAATTCCTTCAAATGGTGCAATAAACCCCTCCATATTCACATAGCCGGTATCAACAAGATAGTATTTACCTGCAGGCATGATGAATTAAGAACGTGTACTAAGGGCAACAGCAAAGAGAAAGGAGACAGCAGTATGGCACTTTACAAATGCAAAATTAAAATCAACCTTCAGGAACTCTGGGGAAGTTCTGTTCTGGATCATCAAGGACAGCCCTTAATACTCGTGAATCTGCAGCTGACCCTTCCCAACCAGGACAGATAAATATAAACTGAAAATCAAATGTACAAGCGGCCAAAACATTTTGAGTCAGCACCCCTTTTTGATTGCGAAATCGAGATTGGTCTTTTGCTGGTACGTGAGCAGGTATATGCAAGGCATCAATGACCCCCATGCAATCCTGCATTTCAAAATGTTAAAAGAGAAAAAGAAGATACATAAATGGTTAACTGTAAATAACATCATTATCACAGCCCAGATACAAACCTGAAAATAAGGGTTAAATCTTTTACTCCTCAAAATCTCGGGAGGAGTAGTGAGAGGAGGGGGTTGAAGGTACTCGCGTGACAAAGATTTAATGGCCTTGAGAACATTATTGAAATGCCTGCTTATTGTTTCTCCAGAATGCTCAAACCGCTCCTGTATAACTCTGCTGCGCTCATTGTGTCCAACGACATTCAGAAACATTGCAAATTGCTCCTCTATCATGACACCAGCTGTATCACGGAGCATGTTTCTCTGCCGAAAAATACCACAGAGCTTGTGAAACACATGTTTGTCCATTCGAAACATTTTCCGACAAAAATCATCATGACCATTGAGTACTTCAGACACAAAACCAGAGCCTCTTGGGAGCAGATTGCGACAAGGCTGCATGGAGATAATCTTGTGGTAGTAGTAACCAGCAGCTGCTGCAACAAGTTCCATCTCATCCAACTCAATGTCACACTCGTCCATATTGGTCCACAAGTCTCTGAAAATGAATTTCAAAATACAATGTGTAACGCTACACAATGTACTTAAAAATCGGCATCCAACAAGCTTTTAAAGGAAACCAAATAGAACCATACATTGCAAACACAATCATCAGCATCCATGAAGGATTTACACAACACAACCCAAATAAAAAGAGAGAGAGAGAAAGACCTAAGCAGAAATAACTGTACTGAATTTACCAATAGATTGATGCCAAGTACATAAAGTCAATCAAACAATTAGCATAACTAAACTCTAGAAGTGAGAAACCTACAGCAGGGCTATAACGTCTAAATTGTTCAGGTTGCTGAACTACAGGATGCACTAAACTTGCGTTGCAGCCATGCTAATCTTCTTTCACTCTTAAGACTAATGAAAGTTTCCCGGGCATTGGAATTCTCAAACAAATCCAGTGCAAAAAAATAGATTTGTTGGTCAAGGCCTTGCAACTCATCCAAAACTTTGATGCACTTGCTAATGGCAAAGCGCTCCTCATTCCGCATAATTGCAGCTGCCCTCATCTTTGAAGCAGCTGCTATTTCCAGCATAGCATCAACTATGGCATCTCCAGTAGCCTTACGGTTTCTCTTTGCACGCCCTGTACCTGGAGTTGCTAATGGACGTTTACTGTTACCATCTAGCATGTTCAAGTCTTCCCCAGAGCCTGAAGAAGCATCGTCCTCCACGTATTTAGGATTTCCAGACATATTTGCACTCATAAACTAAGACTTTAGTAGATATCACAGCACAGGATTCTCTGGTTTCTTAAAAGTCTTCAAATCAAATAGCTAATGATGTTCACAAGCACGTCAGTTCTCTGCAAAATCAAATAGTTTGTTCTAGATTCATGTACCAATAAAGAGAGCAATAGTAATAGTAAAAGGAATCACTATATGGGGGTGTGTGTTGCGGGGGAGCACTGCGAGCTTGTGGGTTGGGAAGAAGGGTAGACAAAGGCAGACGGAAACAGCAAAGCCCTAAAAGAATAAACAATTTTCAGAACTATTGGCCAAGGGAAACTGAGCCTTTATCTATCTTCAATTCTTTTTTCCCCACTAGGCAGGAGGTCAATTTTTACTTAATCAACATTCTTACAAAAACCCACAGCTTTCCCTTTTTCCCCCCTCATAAATTCACTTTATTTTAACTATGAACCATATCTTACATTTATATGGCTGACGCAAGTGTCACCTTCGGCAACTTTGTTTTCCACCATTATTCATCTAAGCTTGCTTACCTACTACAGCTTTCCATGTCTAACAGCCTTCAATTTAGTCCCTCAGAGGTCCAATAGTCAGGGCAACAATAGATTTATTATGTTCAGGATAAAACAAGACCAAGAATGTAAATAATTGTAAACAATAATTGTGGAAGTGGTATTTAATTCTAAGAATCTGGTTCCAAGGACCAGAATATTTAAAGAGTAGAAGCACCAAAAAGTAAACCCAGCGAACAACAGCCCAGAAATACATTTGAATTTAACAGAAACTGAAAGATTTGATTCCAGAAAGGGATTTACGAGAATTCATTATAAGGGGATATTGCACATATCTATCACATGAGACCTCAGTTCGATAGCCAATCAATCCTACATTTCCTCAATTAAATACCGGTATCACAATTTTGAAACAAGGAACAGAAAATACAAGGGACAAGAAGTGCAAAAGACAATGCCTCCTTGTAACCATTGCTTCTTAATGTCTGTGAAAAGAGTGGAAATTTTCAACTATTCACAGACCACGTAGAAGGCCCTCAACGACAGTAACATTACTGAGATCAGTTAGATACTCTATAAGATAATGAAACTCATGTACCCAAAAACAATTCAAGCTTTTCATGAGATCTAGCAATTCACATAAATTTTTCAAAACCAAGGAAGAGACACAAGGCAATGAAAACAAGTGCAAATTGACAACCACCACCCACCATTTATTATGTTGATTAATAAATGGTATGCTTACATCAAGTTCAACTTTAATTGAAACTTCTTCAACGATTTGTCAAATAATTTTACTGTATTGCAAAAGAATAACATGAGTTACTCAATGCAATCTCAATTTCAATACTGTCTCATACCCAATGCAATCTCTATTTCAATAGTTTTTCCTACCCAAAAAAAAAAAGTAATGAAAGTACTAAAATTATCTTTACTATAATCACCATACAGAAAAGTACAACCCAGGCTCCCTTTTAACATTTTACACCAGAAAAACATTAAACCGTAATCCATAGCAGAACAAGATAAAGCAACAAGGAGAAAGCAAAAACTAAAAACACATTGACGCGCTAGTTTTTTTAAAAAAAAAGGAAAAAAAAAAAGAATTCTGCCGAAGTTTCATATCCCTTATATGAATTAACAGAGGGTCAAAACAAACAGAAAAAAAAAAAAAAAAGAATTTGCATACTCTCGGATACTTCTCTGGCTCTTCCAAACAGAACTCATACAAAAGTTGCAAACACGCAGCCCATAGCAAAACAAACAAGGAAAAAAAAAATACATGAACCCATGATGAGGAAATACACCGAATTTAACAGGGGAGAAAAGAAGGATATTCAAACAAGTTCATGAATTCATGAAATGCGGAAAAGGAAAAAGAAATTTCAGTGGTTACCTTTCCGATTATCTCACTGAGGAATGGAGGGAGGGACGGAGTAGGGTTTTGTGACTTCTCACTTCTCACTTTCTGTTTATAAGGTCTATGGTTTAACGTTTGTTTATGACTTTATGTGGAATCGACCTCTCTGCGTTCAGCGAAATGACGGATTACCCCTTAATGTTTGTACGCTTTCCGTTACACCCGGTCTTGCCTAGGCAAGAACACGGTTCATAACCGCCGGTTCAAAAATTGTATGTGATTGTGAACCTTCACCGGCCCTTGAGTTAAGGTTACAGTTTCGGTTTGTAAATCCCTTGTTAAAGTTCAGTTTTGAACCGGTTTTGGTTTCGATTTATTGACGGTTTACGTTGTTTGTTGGCGATTTCAATCCGTTTTTTTACAGTTTTATTTCATTTTTGTATAGTTAATAGAACTTTTCTCATCGCGCATTGCGCGATCAGTTCAGTATTTGAGTATTTTGAAGATCATTTACACTTCTAGCTTGTACTAAATACTGAATTTTAAGATAATGAAATAAACAAAACACACTAAAAAAAGAATGTTCACATATAACGAACCAAATTCTGTTTCAATGTAGTTATATATGAGACTTTAGCACGTAATTTAAAATAAGTAATCCCCATGAAAGGAAAAAAATAGAGATAAAAATTTTCGTTACTTTGGTTAAGACAAACTACCAATCTTTAATAACTCAAACTTTAGATAGCCTAACCTATTCTCCAGAGGCATACGAAGAATAAAAAATCAGAAGATTATGGGACGGGAGAAGATTTATGGGGAAGGAAAAGATGGAGAGCGGCTGAAAAATTTGGCAATAAAAATGGGCACAAAAAATGATATTTTAATTATTAACATCGGGTAGTAAACGCCGTCGTTTAGCCCGCCACATTAATTAAGTTATTTCTCTCGGCTAATGACATATTTGGTTGGCAAAAAAAAAATAACTTTATTAATTGACCATTATAGCCTTGTTTTAAATTGTTGATGTCATGTTAATATATTAACCAATCAAAGGGCGCAATTTAAAATTGATGATATCATGTGAACTAATGAGCCAATCAGAATGCTCAATTTAATTTCTGACCAATGGCGTTCAAAATTCTAAACCCACTAAGAAGCTTTTACTTATGTACAGATAATTTTATTTATTATTATTTAATTTTTTTAAAAAAAAATGATTGAATGGGAAAAAAAATCAACAAGTAGATAGGAAAAATGAAATTAGCAATACTTTTAGTAGCATGGCTAACCAAATTTTTATTGGTTAAATATACACAATATATTCAAATTTTTCATGATTTTATTAATTATTAAAAATAAGTATTGCCTCTTTTTCAAAATACTAGTCCATTTTGGCACAAGAATTAAGGGTTAATTATTAAGAATTGAAAGAAATTATTTAAACCATAATTAAATAGACCAACCATTTGATTCAAGTAAATGTGTATTGGGATTCTATAAATATCATTTGAAATGTGAGGATAATAAGACTGTCAGGATGACGAACCACCACCGATTAAGAAAATTTTGTGAAATTATGCATTGAAAAAATAAAATGAATTTATAATTTGATATAACCACAAATAGAAAATAAATTTATATTTTGAAAACGAGGTAGTACAAAAGATAGTGTTTAAATTAAAGCAAGAATGCAAATTCCAAGGATGAAGCCATACAGACGTTGGAAAAAATATGCAAATTTTAGAATCCGAGGCCAAAGGTAAGGAGCAATTTGGCATAAGCCAATAAGACAAGGTTAATGAACTGGAAAACCATCTTTTGTTAAAGGCAGATTGAAGTTATTTCATGTTACTTCTATTGAACTTGTAGTATGGTTGGTTTAAAATCAACCTAACTAGTGATTATATATGAACTTGTTTAGTTTAGTTGTGGTTGAATGTTTAACTTCCAAATCTATTATAGGATGATGAATTTGAATACTTTATTATGTAATTTGATTAGAATTTTGATTTATGTGTGCTTTTAATCATTGTATTGTGCTATATAGGGGTACCAAAAAAAAGACAACCTAAAATTGCAATTTTAAATATAATTTTTTAAAAGATATTACCCACGGAAAGCCCGTGAACAAAAAATTTGAGAAAATATACGAATGATATTTTCCCCACAGAAAGAGTCGTGGGAATTTTATTTTTTTTCCAACTCTACCTGCGATAAATTCTCGGGCTCTTTAGTTTCCTAGAGTTTACAGTTGACTTTTTCAAATCAGTGTAAAGGACGGTTTGCGTTAGGTTGGCAGCCAGCATTAAAAATCTCGCCACTATGAATATGTATCATATAAGAAATTGTGTAAATGTTAGGACGCCCGTTGTAAGTGGCACGCCGTAGGGTCCGACTACATCTCCGTGGAGAATTGAATGTAGTGCAAATTGTGCAAGAGCCCCGTACGCCAAGAATGCATTACAAGTTAAATTTTTTACATTTTGACAAGAACCACAACATTCTTATAAGGGCGGGGGAGTAGCGGGGACTAGGAAAATTGCCCAACCTACAAAACAACTTAAGAATAATCATATAAATGATAAAACTTGTAGAATAGGGATTTGGAATACATGGTTCATAACAAGTAAATTTCTAGAACTAGTAGAATACATGAGAAGAATACGGGTAAATATAATGTGTTTGCGAGAAACAAAAATAGGTAGGGGAAAAGACCAAAATTTTAGATAACAGGGGATACAAACATTGATATGGTGGAAACTACAGGAATATGAATGGTTTAGATACTATAGTTAATTCATTATTCATAGATCAAGTAGTAGAAGTGGTTAGGAAGGGGGATGGATTAATAACCTTGAAAATTATAAGGAAATGAAGACATAAATATAATTAGTGCATAGTGCCTTAAGTAGGATTAGATGAAGCAACTAAAACTAAATTTGGGAAGATTTGGAGTCATTGATCCAATCAATGCCTCAAAATGAAAAAATCTTTATAGGGGAGGAGGATTTAAATGGACATGTAGGGAAGAAAAATGAAGAATATGAGAAGATTCATGGGGGTTATGGTTTTTGGGTACAAAATAATGAAGGTAAAACTATATTGGACCTTTCGGTGGCATATGACTT